AGAAAGTAGAGGGCGTGAGAATAGTCACGTGATCTCGATGACGCAACATTATTTTTGTGAGTGAATATTTTATTACTGCTTAGTTTTGTTATAAGTTAAAAGCAGACGATTGTAGGAAGTTTTGTTAATAATTCATTGACGTCGAGAATATAGAAGGCGGACTGACGATTAAGTGATAAAGATATAAATAGCGTGAGACAAGCAGACAGATAATAGCAAAAGAGATTAAAGTTGGTGTGAAGTTAAGTGCCATAGATGTGATAGGCCTAACGATTGACATAGGCCTAACCTTTAATATGTTAGAGTGAAACTAACAGTAGAAAAGCAGATAAGGAAAATAATTTTATTCCGTCAAAGCGTGGTTCTAAAGTAATTGAATCAGCCTGAGTACACTTTGACAAAAGGAGCAGAGGACCTTCAAAAGAAAGAAGACCAAACGATTACGGTAACTCCCGTCACAATTGTAAGTTAATCACAGAGAATACTAGTGCGATAAAAATAGAGAAGATAGTTTGGCTTGCCAACTGAAATTATAAAGTAACTAAATAGGCCTAAGAGGATAATTGACAAGAAGGAGAGAATTGCGTATGTAGAATTTATAATATGTTCATAATAACTATAGTTTTGAAACATTTATTGTACATACGTTAACTTGTTCTGAATATATATATTATTTCAAAACAAGTAAAGTATGTGCTGTACATTCATCGTTAACACAGGCACCTACTGTAGAAGAATCCTAAGCCCAACAACATAGTATATATTTATACTATTAAGAAATATAACTAAAAGTCTTTTTATTTTGACAATTGGCGAAGAATTATATTTTGGATTCTGACAAGAATACAACCAGTAAAAGTGAGTTTTATCAGGAAAGTAATTCTAAACAAACAAAACACAACTAGTGAAGGTGATATCTATCAGGAAAGTTCTTCTAAACAAACAAAACACAACTAGTCATGGTGAGTTTCTTAAGAAAATACTTCAAAACAAATAGAACAATAAAAACAACAACAAGAAACATGTCCTAGTGAAGTTAAAAAATCCAATTCCTTAACAGAAAATATATGTTTATCACTTCACTTTAGTTATTGAGGATTATGTGAGTAATTAACCATTTCTGCTGTTTTATTTTCTACTAATATTGGCTCTGAAACGTCCATTTTGACAGTCAATATTTGAGAGAGAAGCAAGTATAGTAAGACTAGCAAGATAACTTGTCCTACTTAACGGCTCATTTAGTCCCTGCAGTCCATGGGGAAGGAAACAGTTTTCCAGACATTGTCGTACTGTTGTGTTTAACCTTTAACCTCTGGGGCTCACACTCCCTTTCTCGGTTTAGTGAGACGGTTTTTTTTTTCTGTTTGTTTTTTTCTGACAAGTAGCAACTTAATATCAGATCAAATTGTAACACTAGTCTGAAATATTTCAGATATGTCTCGAGCGTATTGTTAAAACAAAACGATTTCCTTCTAAAGATTCCAAGTTTTATTTTTGGACTGGCATGAAGATTATAGTTATTATTGTGACGTAACTACTAGCTGTTTTATTGTTACAACATTGATGATTATAATTGTGATGTAATATTACACGCACGTAACTACTAGCTGTTTTAGTGGTACAGCACTGATGATTATAATTGTGATGTAATATTACACGCACGTAACTACTAGCTGTTTTAGTGTTACAACACTAATGATTATAATTGTGATGTAATATTACACGCACGTAACTACTGGCTGTTTTAGTGTTACAACATTGATGATTATTATTGTGATGTAATATTACACGCACGTAACTACTAGCTGTTTTAGTGTTACAACACTAATGATTATAATTGTGATGTAATATTACACGAACGTAACTACTAGCTGTTTTAGTGTTACAACACTAATGATTATAATTGTGATGTAATATTACACGCAAATATCTACTAGCTGTTTTAGTGTTACAACAGTAATGATTATAATTGTGATGTAATATTACACGCAAATATCTACTAGCTGTTTTAGTGTTACAGCACTGATGATTATAGTTGTGATGTAATATTACACGCACGTAACTACTAGCTGTTTTAGTGTTACAACACTGATGATTATAATTGTGATGTAATATTACACGCACGTAACTACTAGCTGTTTTAGTGGTACAGCACTGATGATTATAATTGTGATGTAATATTACACGCACGTAACTTATAGCTGTTTTAGTGGTACAACATTGATGATTATAATTGTGATGTAATATTACACGCACGTAACTACTAGCTGTTTTAGTGTTACAACACTAATGATTATAATTATAATTGTGATGTAACATTACAAGTACGTAACTTCTAAACTGTTGAAGTGTTACAACACTAATGATTATTGTTATAATGTAACATTACAAGTACGCAACTTCTAAACTGTTGAAGTGTTACAACACTAATGATTATAGTTATAATGTAACATTACAAGTACGCAACTTCTAAACTGTTGAAGTGTTACAAACTGATAATGTTATTACGGTGATGTAATATTACAAGTACATAACTTCTAAACTGTTTTATTGTTACAAAATTGTTTGCTAGTAAGTGACGCGACATATGAATAAAACATAAACAGGGCTACAGGTTTATTATGATTTCTGGAACCAAATGCACACTAGATTAATAAGGTAATGGTAAAATGTTGGATATAAAATATAAACATGGTTTCCTGATAAATCATTTCAATGGTACAATCTTACTACAATGACAAATGAGAAAGGATAATCTACCCGCTCGTGCTAACCCTGATGCTACCATGTTTGTAATAATAACGTCACGTTGAATAATACAATAAGAACAATCCAGTACTTAATCTTAATTTGAGATGAAAGTCTTCGGGTGATTTTACCAGACTTCTTAAGAAATGTGTGGTTGAACTTTTAAACAAATAATAAACTGAACGTCATGTTAAGAATGTCAAACTTAATATTAGTTTTGAGACACTAAACCTTTCGGAAATGTGTCCAAAAACGCCTCATGCTTATATTATATTAATATGGATTCATTAGGATAGCGATGGCAGTTGTTTTTTGAATTTCGAACAAACTTACTCGAGGAGCGTCTTCGCTAGCTAACCCTAATTTTAAAGTATTAGGCTAGAGGGAAGCAGTGAATCAACACCATCCACAGCGCCAACTGTTGGGCTACTCTTTTTACTAACGAATAATGAGATCGACCGTGACATTATTGCGCCCCCACGGCTGAAAAAGTATGTACGGACAACTAAAGGTCAACGGGCCAAAACGTTTACACCACGAAACCTGAGATACAAACGACAACTTGTACTAACGAAATACTTTCAACTTGAGAACTTTAATGACTTTCAAATATTTTACTACAACAACAGGAATAATTTACTACAAATATACATAAGTGATGCCTTTGTTGGAAGATAGAGTAACAGCACGCTGTTCTACAGTATGTTTCACTGTTGCTCTAACTTGTCAATAAAGTTGCCATTCAGAAACATATGGCACGAAAAATAACGATGCAAAGTAAAACATAACCCTACTTATTCACCTTTGTAAGTATTAACCATTCATGTCAACAAACACGCTTAACAATAACACCATTTTGTTGCCTTACTAACAAAGTTCTATTAACAATTGTGTTAAGTGTTAACACATCTTTGCAAACAACAATGCTCTGTTAAACTAAGTTATATTAAAATCACAAGGCGTAGAAACAACTTCAAACACTACGTAAGTATTCTTCCCCTCACAATTCGATGAAACATATAAACGTAAGACATAACACCATTTACTAGCTGTCATTTTAACCGAGAACAGTGGACAATTAATCTATCTTGTCTTTTTTTTGGACTGTTTTAAGAGTCTTTTCCGTTTTAAAATCATTTCGTACAAAGCATCTAACCCTTCAGCTAGCCCTTCGCCTATTATCGCGCATGCTGGTTGGACATGCCAGAGATGGTTCGGTCCTAAATCGTTTAGTCCTAACAGCCTTTCAATGTCACTAGGGTCTTTCGCTCCAGGCAGGTCCTGTTTGTTAGCTAGCACTAATATAGGTACGCCGGAATTCTCTGGACTTCTTGCGGTCCGAAACAGTTCCATCCTGGCCTCTTCTAGCCGTTCCACATCGACACTGTCTAACACAAAGACAATTCCATCCGTGCACCTTGTATAAGATCGCCACAGTGGCCGTAGTTTGTCCTGGCCTCCAACATCCCAGATAAGAAAGCTGGTTCCTTTGGCTCTACCCGTTGTTCCTTTTATTTTCTCACAGTTGAAACCTATTGTTGGAACAGTGCTTAGATACTGGTCAAACTTCAAACGATACAACACTGTAGTTTTACCCGCAGAATCTAATCCGAGCATTACAATGTGTAAGGACTGATTTGGGGGTAAATTTTCCAACAGGGAAACTCCTTTACCCACGGTAGCCCCCATAACCCGTAACGTATCACACGGAGAGTATTACAGTAGTCTTCATGTAATCTTTCTGCACTGTAAATCTACAATTTTAGGGACTTTAAATGAGTTGAATATGAAAATACGAAACTCAGAGACAGCTCGCAGCTTCCGCATTCACCGAAAGCTTCTGGTACCGAGAGTCCTTTTGTTTCTCATCGATCTTTGATGTCTGGCTATCTTATTCGGTAGGGATAGCAGTAATGGAATATTTACACGTTAACTGCGTTACGATTGTAAAATACTAAACACGCGGTTTCGTTTCAAGATGTTACAACAATCACACCAGCTCCTACCTAAAAAAAAACGAAAACTATATCCAGATATAATCATTTTCTTGTTCGTAATAAGTTGAAGTTCATCATATTCTTCATTCGAGTAATACAATTTAGAAAATAAAATTAAATTATGGAAAATACTTATTGATACCACTAAAACTTATTTCCATCTCCAGTGTTGTTCTCCCCGACTCACTGGTTGGTATGACACCACATTCCACCTGTATGTCAGCCTGTGACTCTTGACTACGAACCTGCCGTTTATACGACTGAGCTCTCATTGGCAAACCAGTCAAATATTTCCTTGGGAAGTTCACAGGAGTATACAAATCTGCAACAAGGAAAATCAACAACTAGTTGTTGAGACGGGTCCACTTTCCCTGTCGCCGTCTATTCTTGTGTATTATACCAGAAAAAATAAACGAAAAGAAGGGAAAAACTCGGCGAATCTCTTCCTCGAGTCGACAAGTGTTCTTCTGCCCAGCCAGCCTGCTGCTCGTGTTCAGAAACCGCATGCACGCTGTGTGACGTCATCAACTAGAGGCCCTGGAAGCTAAGGGCACATTTTACTGCGGTTGCTAGGCAACATTCGAGAGTTAAATCGTTGAGGAAGTCCCGCACGTTATAAAACGGTGGAAGAAGCATTCATTTAGGGCTTGAAAAATACAACACTATTGTTTCATAACTCTGTAACCTGTGGAAGTTGAACATTCAAATTTAATGTTTAGTCTGACGAAGAGAGAGAATATATTATTTAAAAAATATACCATTTACATATTTGACCTATTCAAGTAAGAGACCATGTTGTTTGTTATTAAACACAAAGTTACGGACTTACCTATGAACTACCAGTGGGAGAAGATATTGTTTAAATGTATGATCCAACTAAGAAAGAAGACATGTTTCTTTAAATGTTGTTCTTTTTATCTGGGGAAAATAATTCAAATTCCGGTCCATGTGATAACAAGAAATCAGTTTATTTCTTTACAGACTTGTACACTTTATAACTAGTTAGTTGTAGAGGTAAGTAATGTTACCAGTGACGCTCAAACGGAAATACCTCGAATAATGTAAAAAAATCAACAAACACACTTGTACAACTTCATGGCTGATTGATCAAATAACTGAAAACAAAACACAGACAAAAACACTCTTTGACTTACTGTACTGATTCATTTCATTTATTCACTGGTTCACTGGTATTCATTTCTAATAATTGATCTGGGTATTTCGCAAAGTCACTAGGTTTTCGTGATGTCAATTTTGAATATTCTGGGCTTATTCTCAAAAACTTACTTTATCTTAACGGCATTCGCCCTCTAGCTAACAGACAAATTACAACATTACAAATATAGCTTATAACACTGCCCCTTCCTGGATTGTGAATTCCCCTGAACAATCCTAATACAAAATAATAATAATAATAAAACACTACACTAAACTGTGTATTCATCAAGTCTTTTTGGTAGTTTTCTTCCGAGGCTCCTGGTATATGGACGAGACGTTACCTTGTCTTTTGCTGTCACTGGCTGTGCTGTCGTTGGAAGAGTTCTTCCTGATTAGGCTGTCAGGTGAATCCACCGGCGGCTCCATCCGTGGTGATCCTCTGGAAGTAGTCTAATCAGATTCAGGTTCCACCAGCAAGTTTTTCTTTGGAGCACCCCTGTTAATCATTCTTTCACTGACATACTTCCAAAGATGATCACAATGGATGACCTTTGGCTTGGATAAACTATCCTTCTGAATTCTCTGAACCATATAATTGGTTCTTTTCAACACAACATGTCCCCTCTCTGTACCTGCTGAACTTTGGAGTTCGTCTTTTCTTATGGAGAGGATTGTACAGTCATACCATGTCACCTCTGTGTAATCCAATTTTGTCAGCATTATCAGCATAGAGACTTTTCATTGTATCAATAACTAATTTACATCTTTTATAGGTAAAATTATATATAACATCGATGGTGTTCCTAAATCTCTCAAAATATCCTGTGTAAGTCTCTTCTGAGTGAATATTCTCTGGGTGAGAGTACAAGAAGTCCAGTTCTTTTCCAAACATCAGTGATGATGGTGTGTTTCCAGTAGAATATCTTAATCCCACATTTTTCTGATGTTCATCCACCTATATGGCTAACTGACCTAAAAGTGTGTAGTTGTATATCTCCACTATGCCGACAGAAGATGGGCGATGGACTGTTCTTCTGCTGTTTTTAATCCTAAGGATCCAACATCTTTTCACAAACAAGTCTGATTCAAAGTTCCAGCCCTGATCCAAATGAAGTCCATAGACAAGTTTATTTGCAAAAGTTTCTGCTTGATGGTTAAGAAAAATACATGCTTCAGAGCACTTGGTGAAATAGTTCAACACTACCATGATGTATCTATTCCCATTGTTACTAAGATTGTTAGACATGCGCTGACGAAACTGAATAGGTGGCTTCTGGTGGTTTGAAAATTGACTTGACCCCTTCTTTATTGGAGTTGAGGTAGGATTGTCTTTGGGCCACTGGCAGGCTTGGTTCTGCCAACATTGCTTCAGTTGCTGGTTCCAGTACATCTAGAGTAGTTTTGGCATTAACTGGTAAGTCCATAGTCAATGGGGCCTTTCTGGCCCTATGAGACATTAGGGTTAGTTCAACAACTGATGCAGCAAGGTCCTTCCTGTACATTAGATATGCTGGAATGCAGCAAATCTTGATTCATGGGCTCCACTATGTTTAATGCCAGGCCAGCACAATGAGTCTTGGGTTTATTGCATATACCAAATCTCTGCCAGAGAGAGTTTTTGGCATATTTGTTCTCCTCATACTGGTCTTCCATCATGTGAGCATTGAGAACAGAGGGCCAGGCTTGATAAAACTTGACAAACACTACTGACAAGTTTAGTTGAAAAATATGATAGCCAGAAGATTCAAGAAATCAATCTGAAATTGCAAAAGCCTGGATTGAAAAAATATTATCAGATAAATTCCAATTGGTCAGAAGGTCAGCTAGGCATATTGGAAGGTCATCACTTCCTAGTTCCAACCACACTCTTCTCTAAAACTAGCTTTAGAGACAGAGTGATAAACTAGGTACCTTGGCCAACTGACATTTTTACTGGCTTCACATGTGTTCCCACCAATATCGTCTGTAGAAAATGTATCCCTAATGTCTGTAAACTTTTAGACTCCTCAGAGTTCATTAGGTATGTACTACCTTCTGTTGTCTTTCTAGGCTTCGCTTGGCCTTGCAGTTAGGGGTACAACTCACAAATTGCAGGTCATAAGTTAAAATTTTATCACTAAGTATGCTCGCCATTTCAACTGTGTGGGATGTTATAATATGATGGTCAATCTTCCTTTTCAATGGTAAAGAGTAGCACAAGAGTTGACAGTGGATGGTATTGACTAACTACTTTCCCTCTAGTCTACGAATTCTAAATGAGAGGCAACAACTAGTGTTGATAGCCCTCGAGTCCCTTTGCATGAAATTCAACAAATAAACAAACTGTTTCCATTTCTGTGGCAAAGGCCAATACAGCTTTCCCTCTGATCCAGAGATATTATTTCTAGTACCCTTTGCTTGTTATGTAACCAGAGCCTGTGTCCAGTAGGAAAGGAATAGGGTAGAGACTGCAAAACTCGTCCTACACATATGAGTTGATCCAGGTTAGCAGACGTAAACTTATACTTTTGAATACACTAATGCTTACATCATCTCTCCTTTACAATTTTCTTCCACATACAATTGAGTTCTAGCTAGGTGTGGCTTACAAACTTTCACCTCTGATGTTACTTTCACCTCTGGCAGAACACTTACAGCCTGAGTTTCCACATATCTTTAACTGCACACTGTATTGTTTCCATGAAAATCCACCACCTGCCGAATATTTCAATATCAAAATTAAAACATTTTCTCTTAAATATTAATTTAAACAACAAGTGCACTGTATTTTGAAATAATACCAACTGGGTTAGTAGTCCAAGTAAACCTCATGTCATAAGGTTTTAACATCCAGTTCAAATCCTTAGTTTATATTCATAAGCTGTTCATAAGTTGTTCTTTGTGTGTATGGATCTATTTGCGTTATACAACATTATGAATCACTTTATGTAATGCTCATATATTCATGTAAGAACAATCACACATATATTTATATAGGTATCTTGGATATACATATATCACCATTACATGAGATCATATACACTAGTAGTTGAAAATATACTGCTGCTGGCTCCCACAGAAACTACTTTGATGACCTTCTTGGTTAACTTACAATCAACAAACAATCTTAACTCTAGGTAACTGAGTGTTAATCTTACAATACAATATATACATTTTACCTTACAATATCATCTGCTAGCTCAAAGAGGAAGGTTTGCAATGCTCTTTCATCTCAGTTTTCAGACTTCTAGATATCATGTTCAGTTATACAAGCTATTGATGTATTTGGCATTTCATTTCATGGTGCCAGCAGTGCTAGCTTCGTGATAATCAAGTGTAAATCACACAATGTAATGCGCACATAATACAGTGGACATCATTTGATAACTTGAAAAGCAAAGTATGTGAATTTCTTTCAGTAAATGATTATTCACTCAAATGACTGTTATCAGCAGCTCAACTGATCGATGGAGTTGTCTCTCGTCTTCAGATTTGTCAGTTCCTCACCTCACTTGCTGTGAATAGCCAAATATATAATCTCAGCTCTTTCTTATTCATCCAATGGGTTGGACTGGGGTACTACAGTGCTCTCATTTTCCTCTGACTCCTGGTCAAATCATTTTACCAGAGGTTTGTCAGTAACACATGGATGCAGCTGAATGGCATGCACTGTGTGCATTTGCACACCTCAACCGTTGTAACTTGTATGTCAGTGGGATCATTCGTGGGTGAAAGACTAGACTATACGTCACATTTACAGGCAGTAAGACCTCTCACTCAACCATGATATTGTTGGGCAAATAATCTGTTGAACTCTGCTCAGGTTTGTAGAATACTACCATGATATATGATGTTTGTCCCAGTTGGTTAAGTTGGGATTCGCAAACTTAGCAATCATACATTTGACATACTGTATTACCCATTTTACTAAACCATCAGACTTGGGTTAATAAGGCAAAGTGTGATTCTTCACCACACCTAACACTTTACACAACTCCAACTGAACTGTGCTGAAAGACCAACCAATAGATAAGATGCAACTCACTTCATGAAATATTTACGGGTAATCTCTTTACATATCTGGAAGCATACCAGTGATATCCAGGAGGGAATCCAACAATTCTCTGCTAAAGTTTACCCTCTTTAGGCTGGCTATTTCTCTGGGTGGAACACACCACACAGTTCTGACACCAGCACTGTATGTCTCAACTTGAATTATTGTCAGTAAAACCACTGTTGTATTTTAGCACAAATGTGGGTGTCCTGCAGTCTTTCTGTTATGCACAGTTTGAAGAATCTTGTGCCTCAAAACTCTGGGGACCACTAGCTGCAACCTGGTTGAGAACAATGCTTGATGA